TACCAATTTGGTAATTTGACTTGACAATTTTATACCTAAGGTTAAGGCCATAGGTGTATTCTTGCAATTAAGGCTAAGGGTAAAGTCTGGAAAGTAGTTGAAATAAACTGGTCCGTTATGAAGACCAGTCTCCATTATCCCTAAAATGCTAGGTTCATATTCTATGAATCTGGCATCTCTTAAGATTAATAGAGCTACTGCATCTTTACCTGGCGACATTAATGGTTTAATTGCTACTTGAACTAAACCAAGGTGAATAAAGTTAAAACCTTTTTCCCTATGTTTTTGTAGGGTTTTTTTACTAATTAATTGACAAGTTTCTTCTTCTTTGCTGAGAGCATAAACTTGTTTAATTATTTTTACTTGAAGTTCTGAGTTGAATGCTTTCGGGACCCAACTCGTCCTGTAGATATTTCGATGGGATACCTTTGGGATATTCCACTCACTCCAATCTACTTGTAACTCATGTTGTTCTTCTTCTTTTTCCTTATTTACTATATTAGGTATAGTATTAAATGAAGAACTAGATGAGCTAGCCATAAAGTTAGATCTAAATAATCTACTCATTATTAAATCTAATTTTTCAATTATGTAAATTAATGTTTAAGTTTGACTCAATTGTACATACCCCCTAACATATATGCTCTCATGATATGTCTCTGTGTCCTAAGACTGCTTAAACTCGAGAACTTACAAATAGGACAAGAATGAGACTTTCCCTCTTGAGCTGACAAAGCCTAGGTGACAAGGGTAAACCAAACTAAACAATGATTTACTAAATTAAAATAGAAGAGATTTAACACAAGTAAAATAATTTAAATATAACTGCATAGGTAACTATCCAGACCGTCAAATGGCTCTGATAACAATTTATATAAACAAGTGCGAAAAGACATATGATTTAGAAGAATCATAAGATGTAAATATAAGAGTGGTAATTTAAAATTCTTAAAAAATTATTGTTTATAAGAACAAGATACAAATTATAATAACAAAAACAAAATACTTACAACACTAGCACTATTGGGTTAGTGGGTGTAGTGGGATAGGAGTGAGAGGCTCTTTATATATATATATATATATAGAGAGAGAGAGAGAGAGAGAATTACACTCAGACCCCTTGAGGTTTGTCACTTAATCGCTAAGACCCCTGATATTTAAAATATTACACACAGACCCTCAGAGGTTTGTACGAGCATAACACTTAGAGTCTTGCTGTAAATATATCTGATAATAAATTACACTCAGACCTTCTGAAATTTGTAAACATATATTACTTAGACCTCTTAAATTTAAAATGTTATATTAGACCAAAAATACTTCAATCAAAGATAGAATATCAAATATTTTAAATTTTATAATTAAAATTAATGTTCTATTGAACCATTTACTGAAATAAAATCAAAAATAAAAATTCAAATTTTTCTTAAAAAATTGTAATTAGTATACAATTATATTATCTATTGGAATTTAATTTGGTCATTTAAACAACCACTAAACTACTCGAATTAAAGTTGAAAGATGTTATGTCAATTACAGTTTAACCCCTTGTTTAATTTTTTAATTTAATTTTAATAGATAGTATAATTGTATACTAACTATGATTTTTTTTTTAAAAAAAAAATTATTCTTTATTTTATTTTAATTAATGACATAATAGAATATAAATTTTGATTGTAAAATTCATGTTCTATTATGAAATGACTTACATGTTTTGTTTTATTTTTTAGTTTTATTTCAATAGATAGTATAATTGTATACTAATTACAATTTTTTAATAAAAAATTAAAATTTTAATTTTAATTTTATTTCAATAAATGATCCAATAGAATATGAATTTTGGATGTAAAATTTAAAATATTTGATATTCTATCTTTACTTGGAGTATTTTTGGTTTAAGTATAATACTTTAAACTTAAGGGGTCCAAGTATTATATGCTTACAAATATTTGGGGGTTTATGTGTAATTTATTAACGGATATATTTAGTTTAAGTATTATACGCGTACAAACTTCAGAGAGTCTGAATATAATTCTCCCATATATATATATATAAATGAAATATGTTTAAATACTCTACCAACCTCAACGACGTTATCCTTTCAACTATTATGTTTATCACATTATAAATCATATTATGATCATATGGTTAAAATTGTTCCTNGCTGAGAGCATAAACTTGTTTAATTATTTTTACTTGAAGTTCTGAGTTGAATGCTTTCGGGACCCAACTCGTCCTGTAGATATTTCGATGGGATACCTTTGGGATATTCCACTCACTCCAATCTACTTGTAACTCATGTTGTTCTTCTTCTTTTTCCTTATTTACTATATTAGGTATAATATTAAATGAAGAACTAGATGAGCTAGCCATAAAGTTAGATCTAAATAATCTACTCATTATTAAATCTAATTTTTCAATTATGTAAATTAATGTTTAAGTTTGACTCAATTGTACATACCCCCTAACATATATGCTCTCATGATATGTCTCTGTGTCCTAAGACTGCTTAAACTCGAGAACTTACAAATAGGACAAGAATGAGACTTTCCCTCTTGAGCTGACAAAGCCTAGGTGACAAGGGTAAACCAAACTAAACAATGATTTACTAAATTAAAATAGAAGAGATTTAACACAAGTAAAATAATTTAAATATAACTGCATAGGTAACTATCCAGACCGTCAAATGGCTCTGATAACAATTTATATAAACAAGTGCGAAAAGACATATGATTTAGAAGAATCACAAGATGTAAATATAAGAGTGGTAATTTAAAATTCTTAAAAAATTATTGTTTATAAGAACAAGATACAAATTATAATAACAAAAACAAAATATTTACAACACTAGCACTATTGGGTTAGTGGGTGTAGTGGGATAGGAGTGAGAGGCTCTTTATATATATATATATATATAGAGAGAGAGAGAGAGAGAGAATTACACTCAGACCCCTTGAGGTTTGTCACTTAATCGCTAAGACCCCTGATATTTAAAATATTACACACAGACCCTCAGAGGTTTGTACGAGCATAACACTTAGAGTCTTGCTGTAAATATATCTGATAATAAATTACACTCAGACCTTCTGAAATTTGTAAACATATATTACTTAGACCTCTTAAATTTAAAATGTTATATTAGACCAAAAATACTTCAATCAAAGATAGAATATCAAATATTTTAAATTTTATAATTAAAATTAATGTTCTATTGAACCATTTACTGAAATAAAATCAAAAATAAAAATTCAAATTTTTCTTAAAAAATTGTAATTAGTATACAATTATATTATCTATTGGAATTTAATTTGGTCATTTAAACAACCACTAAACTACTCGAATTAAAGTTGAAAGATGTTATGTCAATTACAGTTTAACCCCTTGTTTAATTTTTTAATTTAATTTTAATAGATAGTATAATTGTATACTAACTATGATTTTTTTTTTAAAAAAAAAATTATTCTTTATTTTATTTTAATTAATGACATAATAGAATATAAATTTTGATTGTAAAATTCATGTCCTATTATGAAATGACTTACATGTTTTGTTTTATTTTTTAGTTTTATTTCAATAGATAGTATAATTGTATACTAATTACAATTTTTTAATAAAAAATTAAAATTTTAATTTTAATTTTATTTCAATAAATGATCCAATAGAATATGAATTTTGGATGTAAAATTTAAAATATTTGATATTCTATCTTTACTTGGAGTATTTTTGGTTTAAGTATAATACTTTAAACTTAAGGGGTCCAAGTATTATATGCTTACAAATATTTGGGGGTTTATGTGTAATTTATTAACGGATATATTTAGTTTAAGTATTATACGCGTACAAACTTCAGAGAGTCTGAATATAATTCTCCCATATATATATATATAAATGAAATATGTTTAAATACTCTACCAACCTCAACGACGTTATCCTTTCAACTATTATGTTTATCACATTATAAATCATATTATGATCATATGGTTAAAATTGTTCCTTCAACTATCTTTTTTCTCACATTTCATTCTAAATATGATTATTAGTTTCATATTGTTGCAGTAATATGCATTAAAACCATGTATTTTACTAGACATATATGTCACCTTATTTTTAGCGATTGATAGGAACAAAAATTAAAACTTTTCACTGCTTAAATCTCATGAGGGTAAAAGGAAATTAATCCAATTTTATAATATGAATATGTGAAATAATAAATGTTTTTGGCTACAAAATATTTATAAAAGAGTATGTGACTTACCACTCTTTAATTTTTCATAGGGTTGTAAATCCTCTCTAAAATTATTTTCCTCAATTTTATTCGAAGGTAAATCATCCACCGTGTATCCATGGAAGTCACACTCGTAAATGGGAGTCCAACTTAAATTAATAGTATGTGTCAAACCTTTAGTAAAATTTAATGAAAGTATATAACGGAGTTTCACTTTTTTTTTTTTTTCAAATCACTTGTTTGTAACTTTACCCAGAATTACTGCATAAACAACAATGCTATTGAGACCTAAATTAGAAATCTAATGCATTGTGGCCACAAGATTTGCAATGAATCCCATCATTGAATGAAGATCACAATACATTAAACTCATCAAATTATGAACAACTAAGAATATTTTTGTATGAAATGAAAGAGCTTGCAAGCAATTGAGTACCTTCATAGGCATAAATAAAATAAAAATAAATGGCATAATCCTACCTTGAAGATTATTGCCGCCAACGTATAACTCCTTAAGCATAGAGAAATTGCCCATCTCTCTTGGTAAAGGTCCACTGAAATTATTGTATGACAACGACGCAATTTGAAGCTGTGAGCATTCAAAAAAGCTCGACAGAATTTGGCCCCTGAACTGGTTGTCAGTTAGAAAAATCTCTTCAAGCCTTGGGAGATGAGAGCAAATGTGCCTTGGAAGATTACCAGACATGCTATTATTTGTTAAACCAATAGATTCCAGGGATGAAATGTTTAACATGGTGTGTGGTATAGAACCCACAAGCTGGTTTTCCTGCATTTCTAAAATTTTCAGGTTTTCAAGATTACCTATCCCCTCTGGAATCCTTCCTTGTAGAAGATTAAACTGTACATCCAAGGTCTCCAACTTTGATATGTTACAAAGGGAAGGTGGAATAGTACCTGTAAAACTGTTATTTGCAAGAAGCAAATATTGCAGTTTAGGTAAGAGACCTAACTGTGATGGAAGCTCTCCGCTGAAGCTGTTGTTGCTGAAACTCATGAATCTCAATCTCCGCAAATAGCCCAACTCTTGAGGCATATTGCCATTGAAATTGTTTGTACTTGTGTCTAGCTGAAGGAGAAAGGAGAGGTTTCCCAATTCCGGAGGAATGCTACCTGTAAGACCCATGCCAGAAATATTCAGGACTATGACTCTTTTGTGGCGGGAGCTGCAAGTGACTCCAATCCAACTGCAAACAGAGGCAGCGGTGGACCAGTTGTTTGCCAAGAGATCATCTGGGGCATGAGTAATATGGGTTTTCAAAGCAAGAAGTGCATATTGATCAGTAGTGATGTTGGGTGGTGTCGAAGTCAAACAAGCTGTATCGCAGTGCGCCAGCCACACTACAGCAAAAAAGAGGAAGCAAGTAATGTCCATGAGAAATGGAAGTTGGAATGAAAAACTTCAAGACTCCCAAACAAAAATAGGTACGAATCGTATAAATAGTAAAACCACAATGAAAAAAAATTCTTATTGGATGGCAACACTGTTGCATTGAATATATTATCGTCTTGGGTGGGTGTGTTAGGCCTCAGCGGTAGACTTGCTGATGATCCACAAATTTCCAATGTTCACATCAGAGATTAGACGTCCCAAGTCTTCGAGTGCGATTGTGGGAGACTAGTTAACGATGGTGATGTCTGTTTACCACAAACGACAAAATGTTTGACCCCGAGCGGGTCATTTACTCCATGGAAATTCATGTGGAAGAGTGAGTGGTAGGCCCCAGTATTCGTTGTCCAACCCTAAGCTTGAATCCCAACTACAGAACAAGGCTTCAATATATTCAACGCTACTTCTAACCATTTTCCCTCAATGGTAGATCACTCGTACATGGTGAGTGAGTCTTTTAGTTTAAAAGACCAAAAAATCCTATTTTTCATGGTAAGATATTAGAGGGTTTTATATCAATTTTATATTAGGACAATCACCCCACTTTTTTAGCATGATTTCACGAAAGTCCTAAATTTACGGTTATTTCTTTTGTGTCCAAGAGCAGTTAATTGAAAAACATGAAATCTGAGAAAAAAGACAAAAAAAAAAAAAAAAAACTTTTCTAAAGAATTCACAACAATACTTTGGTGTTTTAGAAAAAAAAAACTTCTTATTGTTAGAAGTATCATTTGAATACTAGTTTATTTCGTTAATGTGAGATTTAACAACAAAAATCATGTTGAATGTTGATAAAAAAAATTGTTATGTTGCATTCAACTTTACTTGCCCAAAAAAAAAAATAATATATTGATGCAAAAATGAGTCGAAATGCTTAAATGCCTAAAATGGTGTAGGTTTGAATAGCCTTTAAATTAGTCAAGGGAGTTAGATAAAAGTAGTAAATCGAGAAAAATTTAAGTAGTATTAGTCACCCCCTCTATAACTCATTTCAACATGTATCAGAGAGCAAGTTCCCTATTACTGCCTAACAACCACTGTTAAGGGATCTAATTCAATATAACAATTAAATTAAGTTTCTAATTAGGCCTCCAAACTATTTCCACATAGCATTACTCATTCTTAGGTCTAGAGTCTACATAAATTAGCTTTAGTGATAGAGGATGATGTAGCTTTAGTAGCTAGTAAGCAAGGACTATATGTAACAACTCCTCCCAATTGTTAAGATATTGTGCATTTTTTCTGCTTATACAGTCATGGTTTTTTAACTCTGGAGCTTTACTAAAAAAAGTCTATTGACAATTAAAAGTGAGCACACTACATATATAACCTAGTCACTCTCCTCTCAAATCGACGTGAGATGCAACACATGAAGTTATAGCACCTCCTCCCCTCCACCTCCTTAGAGGCCACGCAACCTTGCGAGGCCCATGTGGGATCCACCCCCACGGGTTGTAGGAGAGTCCTATAACGATCTGTCCCAACTATCAAGATATTGTCCATTTTGGATGCCCATACACTTTCACTATTGTGCTCGTTTGAGCTTTGCCCCAAAAAAGGCTTCTGGACTGTTAAGTGAGCACACCACATATAGAGCTTAGTCACTTTCCCTCCCGAATTGACATAGAATGTAACACATAAAGTTGTAGTACTTCCTCACCTCACATTGCCTTTTTGGCTAGCTACTACAATATAGATTTCTCCTAAGGCTTAGAATGAAATCTAGCTCACTAGGTTTCAACAATTTGAGTGCACATGTCACTTTAGTTTTACTATTAGTAGAAGACTTATTTAGGGTGCAACTTGGGCCAACCAATTCGAATTCAACTCGAACCCAATTCAAAAAAATAAATAAATAAATAGAGCTTGGGTTTAGATTTTTAATACTTAGATTGGGCCTGGGCTGAAAAATACTAACATGAATTGAATTCGTACAGTACTCGAGTTGAGATATCGAGTTATACAAAGCATAACACAACTAGGGTTCACCGTTCACTTCAACACCTTCCTTACTCTCTGGCTCAACCTCTCCCTCAGTCTCTTGCTCAATCTCTCCCTTACTATCTCACTCAGTCTCTCTCTCATTCTTTTGCTCACTTCGTCCTCCATTCTCTTAGTCTCTCACTCCCTCTACCACTCTCAGCCTCTCTACTTTGCAACATCTGTTGATCGACTGCTGCTGATGTTGATTTTCACCTCTTTGTTGTTGAAAAATTGATGCGACTGCTGTTGTTGATCGACTGCTTTACTACTACTTTTGTATATTTCTATGTGTGCATGAGATTAAAATTGATTTTATTGTTAGAGAAAACCCATTTGTTTGTATATTTTCAATTGGGTTATTTTGAAGTTTATACAAAAGGTCTGTGGTTGATTAAACAAATCTTATTATTGTTTTTTTTGATTTTTTTTTAGTATTGTTGTAATTACTTTGATTGAGTTTATGCATTGAAAGTTTCATCTTGGTNTTGATTTTTTTTTAGTATTCTTGTAATTACTTTGATTGAGTTTATGCATTGAAAGTTTCATCTTGGTTGGTTGATGTAAAAACCCTAATCCAAACCTAACTCAAAATCAGTCCGAATTAATTAACCGAATTCAACCCGAGCTCGTCCGAATTTAATTTGGACAGTACTCAGGTTAAGTACCTCAAGTTGAGGTTGAGTTTGTGGATCATCAAAATATTATTAACTAACAAATTGGCCAATCTGATAACTAATTATATCATATTCAATTTTCTTTATAGGGATAAAATATTGTTACCCAAACATATTCAAATAAGGATAGATCTCTCTTATTACTATTAGGTCACTAATAAACATACTCAAGGTTTATTAGTACTTCTCTAATTTGTTTTCTATTTGATTTGGGGTTTTCACTGAGATTAACCAACAAACTCTTCCTTATGTGTGAACGACATGGTATTTAACTCTCTCTTAATTTTGATCCACTATTCTTTTCAAACACTATGAGCAAATTTGCACAAATAGTTACGATCCTTTGTTTTTCTAGACCTTGCATCTCAACTGTATTTTCTATGACTGTATACTTGCGTCTTATGTGCTCCTAAGAGGATTAAATAGTCAATTGATTTCCTAATCTATTAAGGTAAACATATGTACGAAACACTAAACCAATTTTGGGTTGATGTCTGGTCCAATACATTCAAAACCATTGTCTTAACATGACTACAACTCAAGAACCCCAAACTCAAAAAACCGTCTTCAATACTAGCACACTACATCGCTTGAAGAATTTAACTAGAATTGATGAGCTCGGATCCGAATGGGTCGAGCCCAATCCATGGAGTAAGCCTAAATCAGTTAGAAAGCAGGTCAAATCCAACTCATGACCTCAGCCCAGTCCAAAGTTCAAGGGGTCTAGGAAGATTAGTGCACAAGGAGAGTAATTATAGGGATAGCCACTCTTCAAGATCAAAACTTTCTCTAATTGTACATATCCTAGTTGTAGCTATCCTCCCCAAAAAGTTAGTAACTTACCCATCACGTCACCGCCTTAACCAAGACTCTGCTCCTATAAATTGTAAGTCATCACCACATGAGGGGGGCATTTCCCTACATAACACACCCTACCCAAGCTATCTCTCTCATAACTACCAAAAGCATACACTTGCTCTCTCTCTCTCTCTTTCTCTGTTTCCTATTACTTCATAAATAAAGACCACCGACCACTGTTGCTGTCTTCAAAGTGGAGTAGGTGATCCTAACCGAACCACTATATATCTGTGTATTGCTTGTATTGATCTAATATTTATCTCCTCCATTAATTGGTTTATTGNACTGTCTTCAAAGTGGAGTAGGTGATCTTAACCGAACCACTATACATCTGTGTATTGCTTGTATTGATCTAATATTTATCTCCTCCATTAATTGGTTTATTGATTGCTTCATTAATTATCATAAATCATACACTCGACTGTTAAATGTGCAAAAACTTATTTTGTGCATCACCAAGAACCATCACTCATTGATTTTGAAACTAATCTTTTTTTAAAAAAAAAATTTTGCAGATCAAAAAACTTACTCAAAAAATTCAATATTAAGATAGAAATGTACGCATAAGGAAATCAATATTTACACCTCGTCGAACACACTAGGTAGGGGAGTCTTCTATAACTAGGGGCGAAGCTAGGAATTTATACGTAGGGGAGAACTACCTATAAGTTTAATACCTAAAATTTCATTGACAAAAGAGCCAAAAACCAATATACATGGAGTACAAAAAAAAATCTGCAAAATAAGGTTCTAATTAGACCCCTTTACAAAAAATGAGACTAACTATAGTCTTTTACAATTGACCACGATGTGATTTCATATTTTGACAGCGTTGAATGATAACATTATTATCAATGCAATCAAAAATGTCATTTTCTATGCATACAATCAAATTATTTGTCATCCATTGATCGCCCATTTGATTACGCAATCAATTCTTCACAATCTTCATAGCCGAAAATGTTCTTTCTACTATGGCAGTCACAACTGGCAAGATCAATGTCAATGTCACAAGTAAGTAGACCAATGGATATACCTTGTATTTTTTCGTCTCAACCATTTTCTGAACAAGATCTCCAATCTCTAACAAATTTGAAAACTTAATACTAGAGCGCATATCAATAATATAACTATCCAGCTGATCAGAAAGTATCATGAGCTCTAGTGAAAAAAATTCTTTTGGATAAAATTGGACAAGACGAAACAATTTCTCTTTGTCAAAAGCTAAGAAGGAATCAAAAGGACTCAACCATGTCACACAAAGAAGTAAATTAGTGTTTGACTCGATAAAACGACTATTTAGCTCTTGAAGTTGCATATCTATGATGGTATAAAATAACTCAACTTGATAACGATGCAAATTTGTCTTTTTTTGAATACGTCTTAACCTCCCTTGAGCTTCAAAGATATTGTCCATCTTTGGAACAACTATCNCG